CTCTCTCCCTCTCTCTTTCTCTCTCTCTTTCTCCCTCTGTCTCCTCCTCCTCTTCCTCCTCCTCTAGTGGCTCTGCTCTGAGAGTTAAAGCATGTCACTCTCCACACCCACAGGGACTAGAGTGATTTTCTTCCTCAAGGAGTCACTCCTAAGGTGACAGGAGGAGATGCTAACAATTAGGCCAGGACACCAAGTACAAAGTGGGCTTGCCAGGCAAGCCTGGACTCTTTTAGAAGCTCATGAGATAAGTCCTGACTGCAGGAGTGCAGGTCTGCTGCACAGGTAAGCACTGGCTGTATAGAATCGGGGTGACCTGCCTATGGAAGAAGTCCTGAGCTCTCAGGCACCCTGCGGGTCCTCCTTCCCCACCCTCACTGTTTCCTTACTCTTCTCCCTCTCTGCACCTCCCTGGCCACACTGCAGCCTCTGCTCACAGGGCTCCGTCTTCCTGGGACACACTCCCCTCCCCAGGTCTCTAGGGGGCACCTGTTCCTCTTCCCAGCCTCGCCCTCACCACCTCTTCCATCCCTCCCCACCCCTGTACTGTGGGAGGCAGAGGGTTAAAGCCAGGTCCCTGGGAAGCAGGACCTGCTTCCAATCCCAGTTCATGCACTTCCTATTACATGACCCCGGTCAGGGCAACTTACATTTTTCAGCCTCAATGTAATACTGGAAAACAACAGTTCCCAACTCAGAGTTTCTGGTGAGAATTAAATGGGGCCTTACTCAGGAAGTGTTCAGCCTAGTGCCTGGTGCAAAGCCACCCCTTCTACCTCACAGGGGATACTGTGTTACATGATTTCTTCTCTGTCTAAATGGTGACCCTGGAAATGTGGCTCTTCTTTATGTCTCAGTGCTATGTATCCACTAGAGTGCTTGATGTGTGGTTGTCTTTGAATCAGCATTTGTTAGAAGAATGAACGCATGCATGCATGAATGAGTGAACAGGGTCTCACAGTGACGTGTCAGTGGACATGGGCGTCAATGCAGATCCCACCTATGCTGAGGCTTTTTCCTTGCCTCTTGGTGGCCTCATCCAATGAGCAGTGGCCCATGTGGTAAGAGTTCACCAAAGTTAGTAAAGTGACCCCCAGTTTGATGTAATTTAAACCTCTCCTCCCTTCCCAACATCTGGCACTGAATTCCACTGTGTGTATCGTCAGATCTTCACTGCTGTAACAGTGGCCTTGGTGACCTGTCTGGCACTCACCCATTGCCTTCATGAAGGGCTCGAAGTTTTCCTGGCTCTGCAGTTGGTACTTGCCAGAGAAGCTCATGGTGGCAACGAGGCTCCTTCTCCACAGCTGGTCCACAGCTCTGTAGAACGGGCTGCCCACTGGTGACAGTTTTATAGGGGTTTCTTCCTCTCTGTGTATGGACCATAGGTTGATAGCTATAATTTCTTTATGACCAGGTTAAAACATTAACTTCTGAGAATAACGCTCAATGAAAAAAACCAGGATGGGCCCAGCAGAGGTTTCCTCAAATTCAGCAAACATTAATGAACAGCTATCAAGAGCAGAGTCCCAGGGCCCTCTAAAATTTAAGGTGACATCCTGTCCCTTGGGGATTCAGTGTGTGTCTGTGTGTGAAATGTGTATGCATGCACATTATACACAGACAAAGTGTGATCAAAGTATACAGTTAATGTCTTTCTACTGGCACATGTTTCATGGTTAATAATCCACCTCCACATTCTCCCTGTCACTTCGTAGACACTTATTCCACATTCTATCTACTTTCTGAAGCAGTTCTAGAACTCTTCTGTGAGCACCTTCATGAACTGTGATTAAAATAATAATAATGGTAATAATAATAATAATAATAACCTGCTGCTGAGTGCCATTCAACAAAAGGCAGGCTCTTAAAAACATTATGGTGTGTCCTCATCCACCTTATTCACCAGATCTGGTTCTGTGCAACTTTTCACTCTTCCCCAAAGCCCAAATGACCATGAAAGGAAAATGATTTGAAGCAATTCAGGACATAGAGGCAGCCACAATGGTGCATGAAAGAGGAGTTTCAAAACTGCTTCAGAAAAAGCAAGGACAATAGAATAAGTGTGTTCTGTAAAGTGGGAGTATTATGAGGAGGCTTACTGGCAATGTATGTTTTACTAGAAGGAAATTTTTTTTTTTTTTGAGGCAGGGTCTCACTATGTAGTTCAGGCTGGCCTTCAACTCACTATGCAGCCCAGACTGGCCTCAAACTTAAGGGGATCCTCCTCCTTCAGCTTCCTGAGTGCTGAGGTTACAGGCATGTGCCACCACACCTATAATTCCAGCACTAAACTTTTCTTTTTTAAAATAAACGTTCAGCTCATACCTTCAGCTCCAAAGGTTGAGGCAGGAGCAAGGAGGATCCCCCAAGTTTGAGGCAAGCCTGAGCTACACAGTGAGTTCAAGGCCAGCCTGAACTACATAGTGAAACTCTGTCTCAAAAAGCCAATAATAAATAAATAAATAAATAAACCACCCTATTTTTTTCAA